GGATTTGAGGTATAAGTAGAGTTAGTGTAGAAATCGAGAGCCGTAGTTACTATTTACGCAGATTAGTTTAGAAAGTTTTGAAAAAAAAAAAAAATGTTATTGTAAGCTGTAATCTGAGTTTTAGATAAGTTATCTAGGATATATATATTATATGTTAACTCTTGATGGAAATTTTGATCTTTACCTTCTAGTTGATATATGAATTGAATTCCTATTCCAAATATAATTGATAAATGTATAGGAATATGTAGATTATTGCTTCAATTGCAATTTTATGAAGAAATCAAGGATCCCTTAGTATGGCAGCTACTATTTTAGCCGTTAGCTTGAGTTCTTGATATAATGTGAAGGAGATTGATATTATACTTAAAACTTTGATGGAAAATGAAACAATTAGCTTATGCATTATAGATGCTAGTTAGAAACTCTGCTACTGTTCCTTAGTCGGGGTATAAACTGAAATTCTACATAGAAATGAATGAATTATTTAGTTTAACGTAGAATTCAGTAAGGGAATTAAGGATCTTTGAAATGGCAGCAGCCACTTAATTATTCAACCTGAATAATTGCTGTGATATGATGCAAACAAAGTTTTAAATTAATTCTTGATGGGAAATAGGTTAACTAGCATAGAATGTATGAGTTTAGTGAAGAGCTTAAAGTTTCTTTGATATAGTGACAGCCTCTAGCTAGAGAAAATCACAGATTTTTGCTTGAACGAAGTTTATGTTGGTGGTATATATATGCTTTTTTCATAATTTGTTATGAATATAGATGTTCCAATGATCAAATGTGATGAGAATCGAGAATGATTTTGAGATGGTAGCAGCTAATCTAACTATTTGTTAACAATATTACTTTGATATGGGACATATGATGTGATAAATCAAGTTCTGGTTGAGAAAGGAGCTAATGGGCAAGAAATATATGGGTTCTAATCAGAAAATTCTGATTTCTTTAGCTTGGCAGCATCTACTTAGTAAAATTTTATGAGTTTTGTCAATTGGACCTATATATTGATATTATGTACAAGTAACAAGTATTTTTGATAATAACTAAGGATGAGATTGAGAATGAATCATGGGTTATAGTTTGAGATAGCAACAAATGTGATTAAATATAATTTCTTGATGTAAAGTAATCAAAATAAGGAATTCTTATTATTAATTGCATTTTTGTAAATCAGTTATTTTACTGGATAGAGAAGGAATGCTATATTTATGTCCTTAATAGGACATAAAGGAATTGAGGGTATTTTATTTATTAATAAGCTAATTAGGTTTTAATTTACTGTTCATGTGGAAATTTTAGGAGTTCTTGTTTAATCTTGCTATATGAGACTGAAGCTGTAACCTGCAATTTAGGAACCAAATATGATTTCCTTTAGATAATTTGATGGGTTTAAAGCTTGAATCTTAGCGTGTAGAAGTTATGGTTCATGGAGCCCTGTTCATGCGATTAGATGGGACAAAGTTTAGATTTAATTGCTAATTAATTTCATAAATTGAATTCATGTTATTGAATGAGAAGAGTTATATGATTGCTATAAATTTTAGGTAACAGAAATTGAGTTTTTGTGTAATGGCAGAATCTGCATGGGAATCTCCATGGCTTTTATTTGAAACAAGTTAAGAAATAAAATCACAAATCAATTTCTTGGAAGATAATAAAGGAATCGATGCCTTTATGGCTAGCTTTGGTTTGAGATTTGAGGTTTGTTGGTGCATGGTAGCAATCTTAATAGTGTTTAATAATGAAATTTAGAAAATGAGAGAATTATGGAAAAGGTAGCGGCTATACTGTTTGTTTTCATGAGTTTGACAGTACTTAGATTGAAGCTTCACATAATCATATCACGTGGAAATTAGCCAGTGGCGTCACCGAAACCATCAATGAGCCGTCCTTCCACATGGCTCATCCTCTCATAACGTGTGCATCAGGGAGCCAATCCCCATACCTGGCCGATTGGTCTAATCCTCACTTAACCAGCCCTTTCATTATTTTTCCAATCTCTCTTTTCTTTTCCATATGATATCTTCAGGTGTACACGGGGGCGCCAATCTCCCATACCGGGCCAACGATCCAATTCCATAATTTCATAAATCAAAAGGGGAGCTTCAGCAGACAAATGAAAATGATCAGATTCAGTCTCTATCCAAGTCGGCGGTTTTGAATTCTTTTTGTTGAGAGCTTCAGCACCCGCTCTAGATCTGATGTTGCTCTTTCTGGGGCTGTTGCTGTTGATGTTGCTTCCGCTCTTAAGCTCCACCGTAACTACGTGCCCAGAGGCCTCATGTAGCAGCTTCACCGGTATCCCTAAGCTCCTGCTCATGGCTCGCTCTTCTCTTTTACTCTCTCTCCCTGAGCAAAACCCTAATTAACCCCAACCTCACTGTTTTTTCCCTGTCGTGGGCTTTATATTTGTCAAGAAGAAACAAGAACGCAGTCGTTTAAGTTTGTCAGGGTAGATTTGTCTTTTTATTAAATTATTGGGGATCTTCTAGTAATTAAGACCTCTGAGGTTCTTCACGTGGCGTAAGTGTAAACCAGCTCGAAGTAAAAACGGCTATAGAGAAGTACTATTAAAACTAGCCGTTCGATGTGAAGGCTTTACAAATAGATCGATCCATTACCGTCGGATTATGGTAATCAAAATCATTTCGAAAATCAGAATCAATGACAAAATTACGAAGATTTCACGGCTAATTTTGTTGCCACGTGGACTAATGATTCTTTACTCAGCTTGCAATCCATCCAAAAGCAAATCAAATCGTGGGACCGGTGGACACTCGACGGGACAGGATCACGGGAGAAGAAGAAAAGTGGCAGTCTGGGCCCAATTAACAAACGGCTGAGATCTTCATGATCTTAACTCCGTCACGCCTACGTGTACGGTGCAAGCAGAGTTTCAGTTAATTTTAGGCCTTTTGTTTGCTTATTTTGCTTGGGAAGGATAGAAGAAATGAACTCCTGAAGTTGGCAAAGATGTTGGCTTCTTTGGATCTATTTCCGGCGCCTGCTTTTGGGTCTGTATCACCTTCTTTAGGCAAGAACTTCAAAAGGGTAATTTTTTTTCACATTTTAAAATAAATTTAATATTTTTTATGGCTTTTTCTTTATGAAGTTGCTAGTGTGTCAGTGTCACTGCTTAATGGCCTGCTTGTTTTATTGTTCTGTGTAAATGGCTATCGTATTCGCTGGAAGCCTTCCAATGGTCCAAGGAGTTCTAACAATCGGGGAAGTCTTTGCCCTTGCTTAGTTTGATGGAGATGGAGTTAATTCTGTAATTTGATCATTAATAGTAAAGTCTTACATCTTTGCTATCTTATTTTCCTCTCGTATTGGGGAGTAATTGTGGGAGTAAACTAAAGAATATTTTACATCCACCACAATTTTTACCTTCTTCTTAAATATGGTATTTTGTAAAACACAAGAAATTTTCATTTGTTATTTTACACTTCATATTTTACATCAACCAAACAAGTTGCATCTTTACAATTGAGAGTAATTTACTCTCAATGCACTTGTTATTTTACGCTCCATATTTTACATCAAATCACACAAATTGCATCTTTACGATTGAGAGTAATTTACTCTCAATGCAGTTGAGTTGCATACTAAATACATTTAATTATATTTTTTGAAAAATAATTTTCTTGAAAGTGTATTTTTGGTAAAATAGGCTACTTTGAACCATTATTGTACCTAAAAAGGGACTAGATATGATAGCAATGACAATAGATGTGTGTATGAGGTGAGGCTACAGGAAAAGTAATGCGAAGGTAAACGATGATGATGGATAGGGAGATCGATGAGCTTTGACACCTAAGAAGTAATGAATATCTCCAATTTTCTTGAAAAAGTCTAGGAGAAGCTACTCATTGGAAGAGGGGGTCAATTGCCCCCTTCTCTCAGGAGGAAAAAACACTCCAACAATTTTGCCCCCCTTCATTTATATTTTAAATGGTTTGCCTCCTCCTGTTTACAGTCTGGCTTCGTCCCTAATGATGGAGATTAGAAGAAGATGAGAAAGGCTAACCTTGAAATGGTTTTCAACTCCATAACATGACTTAAAAAACGGGGCCGAATACGTAAATTTAGAGCTATGCAAACTAATCGATCGAATTAGACCGATTTAGTTAGGTTCGGTCAGCTAAATCAAGAGAGATTTGATGATTTATTCGATTTGAAATGAATTTATTATACGAGTTGTTTTTATAGAAGTTCGTCAGTTGAGCTTAAAATCGAATCGAAATGGTAAAACTTATCAAAATTGATCAAATCGATCGGTTCGTTCAGTTCAAATAACAATTTGGGTTCAGCTCTGTCTATTCATAGAAAATTCAGTTCATATTTTTCGATCTTGGTTTGGTTTAAACTGAACCAGTAGTTTGCTCACCTCTACATAAATTTACTCCTGAATTTGGTTAGTTTAACTTTATGATATCCTCAACTTTTATTTTGATTCATTAAACACGAAAATCTATAAAATTATCTATTAAACATTTTGATTTACAAAATCATTTTATTAAACACTTTAACTTGCACAATTAAGTCAATTGAACACCTATTAAATGGTTGAAAAATGTAAAATTATTATTAAAAGTTATGCTAACAATATATCAAATTAATATTTTGCATATAAAAACCATAAATTCTAAACTTATTACTTTACTACAAGATGGAAAATGTTATTAAATTTTATACGTTTAACAATACAAATAGGTCATTTATAAAATTCAACGTGGTATAAAATTGTAATTATAAAGTTTAAAATGTATACATTCCGCTAAAAAATAGCTTTTATTTTAGTTGTCCACGTCAACGTTTGGTGCCAAATTAAAGTCTAAGAACAGTAAAATAATAGGGCCTAAAAAAAAAAGGCTCAGACATGAAAATAGAAATTAAGCCTGATTTTCTAGCATCAACATTAAATTTTTTAAAAATAAATAAATTAAATTGAGAGACAAACACGTTGCACGCCCTGTTTCGAAGTTAGTTGGTCGATTGTGCCCTTTTTTTTTTAGTTCCTGCAATTTCACACCTTCGTCTTCATGATTTTCTTCTTCTTTCGAGGGAAAAAGAAACGAAGAAAGAGGAAAGAATTGAAAAACCACGAGCAACCTGCAACACCATAGGAAGGAGAAACCCGAACTCCTTAAACAAAGAAACCAGAAACAAAAAGCCCCCAGCCAAGAAAAGACCCCAATTTCTCTTTCCTCCATAAAGCCTTATCACAAAATCGACCTTCTCCATCAATACCTTATCACATTTGACGGCCACGAAATTTCTGATCCAAGACCCATAAAGTGATTTCCTGGAGCTCTAATTTGATGATTTTCAGGCGCCATTAGGCCCGTGGTTACTCGATGGGGTTTGTGTGACCTGAACTAGTTGTGGAGTTGGTTACTAAGTGTGGCTGTGAACTGAGCGGAGTATTTTGGCATCACATTGGAGAGTTACTGGCAATAGAACAGCTAATCTGGTTTCTTTCCTCGGTAATACTCAAACTGAAAGTATTATCTGTATGTTCGAGCAATCTAGTTTTTAGTTTCAGATTTATGACCTTCCCGTGTTAAAAATGGCGATCTTGATATTCTGGATTTGAAATATGTACTTTATGATATTTCATTTTTTCTTTATGTCATGATCTTTAATATTACTAGCATAATAGGGTCATGTTATTGTTAAATGATTTTGCTATTTGATAATTTCAATTTGCAATTATGAGAAATAGGGACTTATCGTTTGGCTATTGCTTTCTATAACACATTGGGTGTGTTCCCAGTTTGTTTCGTGAAAAGATTTTTCAGATTGGTGTAAATGTAATGTTTCTTTACTAGTAGTTTGATTTTGAGGATAAAGAGAGCTGACTGGATTGAAATGTGGCTTAGCCTTTTAGGATTGATTTTAGTTTTAGAACAAAGAATGTGCAATTTTTTTATTTACATGACACTATATGATATCTCTGATTTAGTTGTTAATAGGGCGTTCAGGTCTAGTCTAATTTTTATGCCTTTTGGTGATTTAGTTTGCTGGGGACAAAATTTGTGTGCATGCTTCATGAGTAAGAGATTGCTTTTTTAAGTTCTAAATCTTGTGCTTAGAGAGTAGCAGATCTGTGTCCAGGTTGATATTTGGAATCAGAATTTTGAAACTCCAAATCACATTTAATGTCTGTTTGGTCTTGAGGTTTGCTGCCTTGATTATATATTTGGATAAGGTGCTTAAACTTGACAGCAGATTTAAGAGTGAAAATTTCAAATTGCTACCACCCTTTACGGTTTTAATACTGTGATTATGTGTTGTAAAAAGTTGAAATTTGTGGTTTCAAGTTTTAAAGGTATGGGCATTCGTCGTTACATTCAGTGTAATGTCCATGTGAATTATGTAATAATGCATATGTCTGTGTCTGCTTTGGTCACCTTGATAGTTAACTCCCACTGGTGCATATCTTTTTGCTATTGATTTTTGGAACAAAACATTAGCTTGTGACTTAATTTTCCGTCCATTGGTGATTACATTCAAATATTTGCAATTGAGATCAAATCATGAGGTTATTTAATAAAATCAAATAGAAATGCAGTGACTCTATTGTTTAATTTTATTTTCTTAGAATGGCAGTCAACATTCTTGTTCGATCCAGGAGTTCTTCTGCTCTTATTGGGTTGAGGATCCTTTCTAGTCTTTGGATAGTCCTTCTTGGTTGTGCTGCAATACCTTTTTGCAGAGTCATATATTGACTGGAAAGTTTACTTTGGTTCTGGATCACACTTCATAATACATATGTAAAGTTCTTTGTGTGGTTTCATCTGCACCACCTGGATTACTTTATGATATTTCTGCTATGCCTATGTTTCTTTTTTTTATTCATGTACATGGATTTCATTTTGGCATATTAATCAGATTAATAGATGATGCTATTTGCTGAAATTTAGCTTTAAGTTTTTTTCATGCACATTATAATTTATTGGTCTGTAAACTTTATTTGATAAATCCAGTAAGTTATATTGAGGTGAATAACTACAGCTTCTATTATATATGCATCTGAAATCTGTTGCCTTATCTCAATTAAGGACAAGAGGATTTCAAATAATATATATGGAGTTTAATCGATAAAATTTGTCCTAATGATTAGGCTCATGAATTTGAATTTAAGAATGGATAGAATGTGAAATTCATTTGAATCAAATTGCATTTTGGATTGAAAATATAAATTGGGTGGTGTTCTTGAGATCGCTTCCTCATTTCTCTGGTATAAGTTTGGGATGGGTCTTTTTACCTCTGACCTTGTGGATTGCAGGACATGAATGAGTTGGATAATAAAAATCTGTTAACCATTGATTAAACTGGGCACTTCTTTCAAAAAAAAAAGGAAAATATTAAAAATTCAAAAATGAAAAGTCAAAGTTCTCTCTCTCTCTCTCTCTCTCTCTCTCTCTCTCTCTCTTTTTCTTTTCTTTTTTTTTTCTTCTGGAATTAACATTCGAGTTCCATCTTTATCTTAGTCAGCCTGAGATTCATTTCAAACAGGGAATACGTGGTTGTGATCAATGGATAAAAAATCAGCATTATTATGTTTATAATGGACGGAGAATACATTAGTTACCCTTTTCAAGATCTAGAAAACAAACTATGAATTAGTTGCTTCAAGTTCTTGCAAGTTGGGTAGTGTAGGGAGTCCAATTGCAGCTTGTTGGTTATGAGTCAAATTATGACCAGAGAGTTGGTGCCCAGTTAATCTCTTTTTTTCGTAAGGTTTCTACGTTGAGGAATTCATCAATTTGTCACTTTTATCATGTTTAATGTCAAGCATTATAGCTCATGGTATTGATAAAAAGGAGATGCATGCTATTTTAGGGTTTTCTTTTTCTTTCTAATTTTGTTGTATCTTTTGCTGTGTGTGAGCTCCTTTTTTTTTTTTTTTTCTTTAAACTTTCGAAGGTAGGTGAGTAAGCAGTTTTATATTCAATAAGGAACCAATCAGTGTTATTATCTTTTGGGGCTTTTGAGTTAAAGCTAATTGATGTTGCTGTGTGAATCTGAGTTATGATTGAAGTGTGGCAAAATTTAGCTGAATAAGAAGAACCTGAAGTTCCTAGTAATTAGACTTGAGAAGCTAAACAGTGGATCTGATTCTAATATTCTTTTGTTTCAAATATGGATTTTGTCTTCTCTATACTGTTTACCCCTCTATCTTGGTTTGCAGTTTTAGATTTATTAATTCTAGCAGTAATAAATTACTTAATACTTTGGGTTTAATTTGACTAGTGGTATGTGAACTTATGCATATGGTTTACAAGCTTTAATTGGTCACTTAAAAATATCCAAACTTATAAAAGTGTAACACTAAAAATGATTTTTTGCCGAAATAATTGATTTCAGGCGACCGGAGTGCCAGCTGGATGCCACATTGGCGCTAGTTATGTTTAAAAAAATAACAAAACCCAATTTTCTCTCTCTCCTTCAGCTCCATATCTGACTCCTCCAACTTTTACCCTCATTTTTCTCTCTTTTGCCCTAATCCCAAGAATTCACTCTGTCTCGCCATAGATGATCTATACCAGTTTAATCGAAATACAGGATCCCTCAAAATCTCTCTGCCGAATGCAAACCTAACTACTACCTCTCTCACTCCTGTCTAAATCCCTCTACCTAAACTCAAATTCCCATTTCAGCGGATTGCAAGCATGAGGACTATGGTAGTCTCATCTAGCTCAAACTCAGAATCCCTCATTTTCACAAAATATTCAATTGCTTATATACAAAATAAATAGCACAAGCTTTGAGAAGAAAGGGCTAGTCAGGTAATTGGGTATAATTTCTCTCTTCACATTTTGCAAAAGGAACCCATATGGCCTCTTCTGGTGTATCCGTAACTCAAGTTTTATGATCGGTAAGAGATTGGGCATCACTCAAGTTTTTTGATTGAGATAGAGCAACATCAAATTAGTTTCAGATATTAGAAAGGTATCTTGTTGCAGACCAGAAAATTGGTATTTGAGCATGAATTTTGAGAGAGTTGTTTGATTGAGGTTAGATATGTTTAGTTATTTGCCGTTTGCAGTTTTAGGCAGCCAAACCCATCCATCTATAGTTAGATGTGTTTAATTCCCATCTAAAAGAATCTATGTGTATTATTTTATTTTATTTTATTTTAATTCTCTGAATTGATATTGTAGTGTAGTTGCCCATTTGCATGTTAGCTTTTGTGTTAAATTTCTCTATTTTCGTATTCAATTTCTGCATTCCCTGCTTTGGTTCTTGTTTTCTTCTCACTATCCATATTCTTCATGTTTAACAGAGGGTAATGAACTGATTATCGTTAACAAATTGTGTGTTATCTGTTGAATTGAGTTAATTTTTCCTCTGAAATTAGAGGACTGCAATAATATATATTGATTTAGATTTTAAGTTTAATTTTAGTTATGATAGTGCTTGATTTTGGATTTTCTAGGGAGGGGACTAGTTGGTGGGTATCTGTTATAGAGAGAGGAGAGGTAGCAGCATGATAGGTGATCTTGGGCCTTCTCAACCATAAAAGCTAGCTCAAGAGGTGAGGCTTTCCCTCACACTTATAACTTGATCACCAGCCCCTTCCACAACCGATGTGGGATAACCCAACAATCTCTCCCTCACACATGTATTCTTGGGCCTTCTCAACCTTTTAAAAGCTAGCTCAAGTCCCTCACACTTATAACTTGATCACCAGCCCCTTCCACAACCGATGTGGGATAACCCAACAATCTCTCCCTCACACATCGGGCCATGGGTCGGAGAAGCAACAACCCGTACTCTCCCGGAAATTGGGCTGAGATTGCTGTAACTTGAGCTCTGATACCAGTTGTTGGGATTCTAACTGATCCCGAGTGAGGCCCGCGGAAAAAATAACGGTGGTAAAAGTAGAATAAAATTACTATTACCACATATACCTCCAATAATTTCGTATTGGATATTAACGATCGAATCCACCAGAAATAATAACCACGGTAAAAATTAAATACCACGGTAAAATTAAATTAATTACCGGTAAATTGGGCCAGATGAAAAATTAAGAAACCGAGAATGTATCGTGGTTCACCTTTCCAACTCCTTATGGGGCTACGTCACGAGACAAAAACTTGAAATAATTCTTCCAAAAATAGTAGGTACAAAAGAGATTACAAAAATAGTGGCACTCCTAATGTTTTTCCAAAAACACCCTAAAATAAATTTCCTCACTATTTTTCTCTCTTTCCCATTTTAGGAACTCTTTTCCTAAAATTTTGTACCAACTTTTTGTATATTTTTCTATTTATTTTGTAGCTTGAGAGGGATTCGCTAACCTCTATTTATAGAGAGGTTAACGAGAGATGATTTGAGAGAGCCGTTGGCATCTCCGTTGTCAAATGGCTGCCAACCTTTTGAAAAAAAAAAAAAACGTGCCCTTTCCTTTTTTTTTTTTCCTTTCAAATGTGTGTTGGGTCCCACATGCTGAGGGACCCCACACAATCATGAACTTGAAGCTGTCAGAGGACAAATCAATTACAAACACCTGAACGGATTTTGGAAGGCACTCCGTAATTGAGTTAGCAGTTAGCGGTATGTCTTAGAAGACGAGATGCAAGCGTGTAACTGTTGGGATCTCTATCGGATAGCTTGGGATACATTTGTGGTATCAAATTGAGTAACTCAGCTCAAATGTGTGGTAACCGATGTCTATGGTAAAGAATAGACTACTTAATGAAAGGAACTACGAAGAAGAGATGATGTTGCCAGTACTAGTTCACAAGCCCTTGTCACAGAGAATAGGGGCCGAAGCAAGAGTAGAGGTCGAGGGCATGTAAAGTCAAGTGGTAGATCCAAGTCCGGAGAGATGAGAAAATGTTACCATTGTGGTAAGGAGGATCATCTCAAAAGAAATTGTCATTTACTTAAACAGGAGCATGCAAACCGAAGACAAGAGAATGACAGAAATACATCTGCTATAGTCTCAGCAGAAGATGGTGAGGTGACTTTAGTCACTCATGATGCAGATTTGTCATGTTGGATATGCAGATACCGAGCGGATAGTAGACTCCGGTGCTTCATACCACTGTGTTCCAAAAAGGGAATACTTTTTCACTTATAAAGCAGGAGACTTTGGCACTATTAAATTTGGCATATTAAATGGGAAATAATAGATGTCCTCGCAAGTGGTTGGGAATTCGGTGGGATATCTGCAAAAAGACAGTGTTTGGGTTTTGCACATTAACACTTAAAATGTGAGACATATTCCTGATCTTCGGTTGAACTGTTGTCTGTGAGTGTACTGGACCAAGGAAGGCTTATACTATGATACAGGTGATGGGTAATTGAAACTCACCAAAGGGTCTTTTGATGGTGGCCGAGAGGAAAATTATGTTTGCTCGCTTGTATAAGACGCACGCAAATATGTGGCGGGTCAACTAATCAGTTGGCAGATGATGCTTCACCAAATTTGTGGCATAGGGCGACTGGCGCACTGTTAGTGAGAGGGTTGAATATATTGGCTAAGAAGTCCCTCATACCATTAGCCATAAGGTTAATAAACCCTTAATGATTTTTTGTTTATTTGGGAGCAACATCGGGTCTCATTTTTGAAAAGCTTCTAGGAGAGACCATCTTTGGAGTTGGTATCACTCTGCCGTTGTGGTTCCATGGAGGTAGAAAATCACTTTGGAGGAAGTAGGTATTTTCCTTACCTTCATTGATGATTTGATGATTTCTCACGAAAAACATGGATATATTTGTTGCGCACAAAAGACCAAGTATTCAAGCACTTTCAGCAATTTCATGCTATGGTGGAAAGGGAGACCAGAGTGGCATTGAAGTGTTTGCGCACGGATAATGGTGGTGAGTATATCTCTAAGGAGTTTAGAGATTATTGTAGTTAGCATGGTATCAGGCATGAACAGACAGTTCCTGGTACGCCTCAAGGCGTTGCTGAACAGATGAATCGCACCATTGTTGAGAGAGTCAGATCCATGCTCAAAATGACCAACTTACCTAAGCCATTTTGGGGAGAAGCTGTCAATACTACTATTTACCTAATCAACTGACTACCTTCAGCACCTCTGGATTTTGATATCCCGGAGAAGGTCTAAATAGGTAGAAATATTTCATACTCTCATCTGAGGGTATTGGCTGCAAGGCATTTATGCATGTTCCAAAGGAGCAAAGATCAAAGCTTGGTGACAAGTCAATTCCTTGCACTTTTGTTGGTTATGGAGACGAAGAGTTTGGCTATAGGTTGTGGGACCCAGTGAAAAAGAAAATTGTCCGGAGCCGAGACGTAGTATTCCAAGAGAATGAGATCGTGGCAGATACAACTTGTGAAGAATCCACAAGTGATGGTGTTGTTGACATTACACCATGAAGCATTCCTACAGATGATGCCACAGGAGGAGGAATGCCAGAATCAATCTGACATTTACGGTAATTATTTAATTTTTACCGTGGTTATTATTTCTGGTGGATTCGATCGTCATGGTGGATTCGATCCGTCAATGATCTCATACGAAATTATTGGAGGTATAATGTGGGTAATAGTAAATTTTTACTTTTACCACCGGTATTTTTTTTCCGCGGGCTGCACTCATTATTTAATTTTTACCGTGGTTATTATTTCTGGTGGATTCGATCGTCAATATCCAATACGAAATTATTGGAGGTATATGTGGTAATAGTAATTTTACTTTTACCACCGGTATTTTTTCCGCGGGCTGCACTCGGGATCAGTTAGAATCCCAACACGGCAATGGCGGTGGTGATGGTGGTCTTTGCAGAGGGATAGAGTTTTTTTTGGCAATACGAATACTATCTAAGTTGGATCGTCAGTTGAAGAATAAAATAAAGCCAACGTATCAGGAGAGAGAAAGGGTGCCTGTTTATGTGTACAAAGTTTTAATGATAAATAAAGTCAATGTGGTGTCCAGCTAGCACTTTGGTCACCTGAAATCAATCATTTCGGCTAAAGTCATTTTAGTATTACGCTTTTATAAGTTTGGGTATTTTAAGTGATGAATTAAAGTTTATAAACCACAAAGTGCATGCCCTCTAAGTTCGTGTACCACCAGTGGTATTAACACTATGCTTTGTGCTGATATTGATTTGATCAAAGTGAATATTGGAAACAAAAGATTCATGTTGCTGACCCTAACTAGTTTGGGACTAAGGCTTAGTTGTTGTTTTTAGTTCTAGCAGTAATTATTATAAAAGAGATTTTACATGGATCACTTGATTCTTCAATCTAGAAGAACCAAATATTTTACTGAAGATTAGGTGTCTCAAGATTGTATGGCGTGACTTTTGAAATTTCTAGCAAATTTTATTTCTTTTGCGCCAACCTCTCAAAGATACAAGCCTGTCTTCTAGGTTTCAAGAGCCCTTTGTGCCATGCACTGTTTTTGAGTTGCTTAGCCTTTTTGAAAATGCACCAATTATTCTACCCTTAACAGCAGTATGCTCCTTCTCCCTAGCTTCATATGTACTTATCAGTTCTAGCTGTTAGTGATTTGTGACTTTATTGTCAAGTGAAGAGAAGTTGAAGATTAAGCTAACCATGAAGGGCAAGATTCATCAACAGTCCATCTCCTTTCGGTCAAACAAGAAAGGTGATTGGAGTAATCAAGCATCATATTCTAAAGGTAAATAACACCATTCTGCTTTATCTATTTTCTCTTTTGAGATTTATAAGTACACACACAGACATACATTTCTTTTTTGGAGGGTTTTGGGTTGATCTGGGTTTGGGTTTGCTTATAGAATCCGTTCCTAATTGTTTTATTGGTGATGCAGACGGGAAGCTGCCCAGTGATTATCCAATGAGAATAATTTGGAAGAAGGGGTTTATTCGATTGATTTTTGTAGCTGGCATTCTGTGGATGTTGCTCATTCTTCTTGTACTATTATTTCACATTTGGTCTTGTCAATCTTCTTATGTATTCTTTTCAGGTAATTTTCTAAATATGTGAATCCTGCAGTCGTTCTTTTCTTGTGTATTTACTTTGTTTGAGTTTGAATTGCCCCTTTGTTATCTTTTTCTACTGGTTTTGTAAACTTGAACAACTCAATCCTTGCTTAGTTCACTACAGATCTTATTTACTTGGACCTAGAAGAGCTGGCAAAGCTGCGTTTTAGAAAACTTGCTCCACTTGATTTTGCCACTATGATATTAGCAGCCAAACAGGCAGTTTGTAACTAACACACTTTCACACAAATATACTCATATATGTGAGCACGTGTGTGCGTGTGTTGTGCATTCATAATTGAAGCCTCTGTGTAAATTTTTCTGGTTGCTTTCACCTTTTTCCACGTCCAATTTTAGTATCACTTTTGTTGGAAGCATAATTAAGAAACAATAAAGAATATTATCACCCCTATTGGGATGGAATACTTAAATTAGTCTGTTACGGTCTAGGTACATCCACTGATGCTCAAAAGTGGAGTTGCTAGTTGAGATGATAGCTAATTAATTTGTAGAAGGCGTCTACAGGTTAGAGCTCCTTTCTTTTTAACTTAGGTTCTTATGAGTATAAAGCCTTGGTGGCATATTGGATTCAATGAAACTAACTGGAAAGGATTAAATATTTGGGGAACCAGTAAGAGCTACCAAATTGCCTAGAAGAATAAAACAATTAGAAATATTTGATTCTGCAAGATGTTTAATATCTTTTTTGGGATATGAGAGTGAAGTTGTCTAGCTAGAGTGGTAACTTGTTAGGAAATTTAATGGAAGCTCTATAATTGTATGCAATATCTTCATTTATTTACTAATTATCAATTCATGCTACATATGCTTCAGTGAAAATTTAGAATTGGAATTTCTTTATTAAATTGTAGATATTCAATTTCAGTGAATTGACGTTATGGAATCTATTGGACATGCAGCCATCTGTAACAAAGAAAGCAAGGTGTATGTCATTTTACATGCATGGGGATTTGTTGCACAGCAACACCGTAAGACTAGCAAAACCTCTTCTTTGAACTGTTATCTCTATACAGGTGTTATAAGTGATACTAGGTTTGTTACTGTCTTTTAGGTTGTCCAATCCCTGTTGCCAATGATCCTGACAAAATAGTTATCCCAGAAGGAAGAACTCCTGACAAGACTGTAAAAAATCTATCATATATTATGGAGGATGAGCCTGTGAAGAATGGATCTCAATCCCCATTATTTGGAGGACATCAAAGCTGGGTGCAAAGAAATGAGAGTTTCAAACTAAATTCTTCCATGAAGGTAAAATCTAAGTACATGCAAGCCAACTATGCATTAGTCTCAACTCCTTAAAGACATTGTCATTCTCAAACTATGGCATGCATTACCACCAAAAATCAAAAGAACTGGGTTTTCTTCCATTTAAGATATTTTTCATTTGATGGAAGTTTAAATTTGTGGCTTTTCCTGATCTTATAAATTTAACTAGGTTTCATAATGTATCATCATCCATTCTACCTTTCAGGTCCATTGTGGATTTATGCGTAATGGTGGTGCTGAAATGGAACCCATGGACACCAAACATGTCAGGAAGTGTAAGTTCGTGATTGCATCTGGAATTTTTGATGGATACGATGTACCCCATCAGCCTTCAAATATAAGTGACCGCTCTAAGAAATTATTCTGCTTTCTTATGGTGGTGGATGAGGCATCTCTTGCTTTCATAGAACAGAATTCTACTGTGAGGGAGGACAATAATGGGGGACGTTGGGTTGGCATATGGCGTGTTATCCTGCTGAAGCATCCACCTTTCGACGAGCCTAGACGGAATGGTAAAGTTCCCAAGATTTTAACCCACAGGTTATTTCCACAGGCACAATACAGCATCTGGATTGATGGGAAAATGGAGTTGATAGTTGATCCTTTACTAATTCTTGAAAGGTATTACCGCCTGATTAAATTATTATAGATTATTTATTTTAGTATATTCTTTAGAGAAGAACAAGAGGTCTGGCAATGTTTTGAATGTTTTCTATCATTGAGTATATGATTATCTTATAGGGCTCAGTTATTGGAGTATTCCTCTTTCCCCTATAGATTTATTTATTTTAGTAATTTCTTATAGAGAAGAACAAAGAGGTCCTGGCAATGTTTTGAATGTTTTTCTATCCATTGAGTATAATGTATATCTTATATGGGCTCAAGTTATTTGGAGTATTCTCTTTCCCCCGCCCCCCCCCCCCCGAATTAAATTATCAATAAAATAAAGTATGCTTTTTTGGTTTTGCATTTTCCAAATTTTCTGATCTTTTCTTCTTTTTGAAATCATGAAGCAATAAGAAGAAAATTGAAACCCAATTAATTATCAATAAAATAAAGTATGCTTTTTGGTTTTGCATCCAAATTTTCTGATCTTTTCTTCTTTTGAAATCATGAGCATAAGAGAAAATTGAAAGAAGAAAAGACATGTTCTCTACCATGTGGTGCATCGGTGGTTATTCAGAATTTATTTTACGTTGACATAATTTTAAATTAAATAATGGTCAAAAAAATATTTGAAGTACACCCATTATGTGATACGCTGTACTATATCATGGAAGTCAAATATATGTTACTTGAGATGACCTTTTCAAGGTATTAGATTACTGCCAAGTCTTACCTATTAAGTATTATTGCTACATACACAACACACAAGCATGCCTGTTAAAATAGCTAGATAAAATGAACTATCTTTGATTTGTAGATACTTGTGGCGTGGGAAGAATACATTTGCCATTGCTCAGCACAAACATCACCGCAGTATTTATGAGGAGGCAGATGCAAACAAGCGGAGGAAACGATATGCCCGGCCACTCATTGATCTCCATATGAGAATATACCGTTATGAGGGAATGGAGCCTTGGAGTGTGAAGAAAGGTGTTGTTAGTGGTAAGAAAAAAATTTTTTTTAGTTCTATTTCTTGCATATGAGCCTGGATTGGTGCTTGAGAAAATATACCTTATCAAGCACACAAGTACACAGTAGGCAATCTTGGTCATTAAGTGAATTTGAAATGAAAAGAGGGAAACAACAGTTCTCTCTAAAACTAAGCATTTGGAATAGGAAATTTTTTTTCCCTATATGTTGCTTCAAAACACAAATTTTGAGTGGTAGCTTGATTTGTGATTGAAGATCTATTTAGTGTTGTCAAATCGAGAATCAGTGAATCGGAAGCCTCATTTTTTGAATGGAGAATCGAATCAAATCGTAAGATTTGCTATAACCTTTTGGGAATCAATTAAATTCTAATTCCGCATAATTTTATCAAAAGATATTAAATATTCAATTGAAAATTCAAATATCAATCATATACTGAATAAACTTAATAAATTGTGTTGTTCCTAAGTTCAAAATATCAAACTATCAAATTACAATTTGAAAATAAAAAATAAACTAATACCATGTTCTTGTTCTTGTTCTTGTTCTTGTAAATCAAGCCAATAGGTATTGTTGTTTCTGTCTTTCTGACGTTGTGTCGTTTAAATTTCCTAATATATGTGAAGTATAATCTTCTACTCCTACTAGGAAGAGGTTTGCATGCGTTGGGCTCATATTTTGGTTTTATTTTTTTTATACTTTTCGTGAATTGTTGATTTGTTGCAATTCGCTACCGATTCGTACGACTCGCTTTCGACTCAGGGTGCATTCCGATTCATCCTTAAGATTCGTATCGATTTGCCTTAGATTCGGTACGTGAATCGTACGATTCTAACAGCATTTGGTATGGGCAAAAGTGAAGTCAGGAAATGTGAGATGGTGTTATGCTTAACCACTCCACTTGTGTTGAAATAATCTTTAAGAGGAGAACAATGGCATGGAATATGTTGTAAATTAAGTAAATTTTTCTGAATAAAACAAAATCAATCATCAAAGGTGTGCTAGGGCTGTGTGCATCCAGACCTTAGATCATGCTATGTGGGTGATCTTGGGCTAGGCCTTGTCTTGGAAGGAATTCATCTAGGTGTATTCATATGTCTTTTGGGACATTAGCTTGGGCCTTAGAATATTGTGTATTTTTTATTTAATTCTGCTTCTAATTCGATGATTTTCCTCTATATTAGGGCTTTTTTTACCTTTGTGATTCAGTTTAACCATAGGACATAAGGTGCCAATGAATACAATTGCATAAAATCAACTCTTAGGTGAATATGCACTATTTGTGGGGCTTGAATGTCTAGTCAGGAACAAAAATAAGTGCTTCTAGTTTTTGGGCTAATCTATTATGTCAGAGATGAGGACATGACTTTTATCGACAAAAAAGAGGACAATGGATAATTGAAATGCTAAGCGCTAATGAAGGAAAAGAAGTAAATTATGATCTTTCTACTTGACTGCAATGATAAATTACTCATTTTTCTAGGAATAACTAGGAGAATAGAATCTGGAACCAAGATCTCTTATGTTGCATTGAGCCATGCATAATGGTGGTTACTTTTTTTTTTTTTTTTTTTTTTTTTTTTTTTTGGTTTACTTTTTTTTTTTTTTATTTTTTTTTTATTTATTTTGCATTTATTAAATTGATATAGCTTGGAGTTTAGATATTTGGGGGATTATTTTTTTTTTTTTTTTTTTTTATTTATTTATTTGCATTTATTAAATTGATATAGCTTGAGTTTAGAATTTGGGATTAGCTTTTGACCTTAGGTGCATGTGTTTCCTTTGCACTTTAGTTTGTACTTGATTGATCTTGAACTAGTCTATGTCAAATTTCCAGATGTTTTATTCACGAATTATTACTGTCTTAAATATTCAAGACCTCATATAAGTGGTGGTGGATGCACATTTTAGTAAAAACACACCTTATAATCCCAAGTACATGGCCTGGGCCCATGTACTATGTTTTGTGTGCCTTAAACCTTTGAAAACTATGAATAATTATGTCATTGGGGTTTGGTTTAGGCTTTAGGTGTTACATTATTATCCGCTGAATACATAAATTCACCCTCCGAACTTTGTTACTTTAACCTTGTGACATCCTCAATTTTTTACTTTGACTTATTAAACACCGTTAACGTACAAAATTACATCCATTAAACACTTTAATTTTCAAATTTATTTTATTGAACGCATCAACGAGTAAAATTTGATCAATTAAACACTCGTTAAAATTTATGAAAATTATTGTTCTAAAAGTCATACTAACTACACATCAATTTGATATTTTGTAGATAAAAGTCAAAAACCCTAAAAAATTAGTGTCGAAAGATGTGTAACATTATTTTATAAGTTCAAGTGCATAATAGGTCATCTGTAAAGTTCAGGGTGCCACAAAGTTAAAAGTTGTAAAGTTTAGGGGTGAATTCATATATTCAGCCCATTATTATCATATATACCTAACACATCCATTTCATTTCAGGTGACAAATGTGTTGTCGCACAAAACATGCAGCATCTAAGTTCTCTATCAAGGAATATAATGTTGGGTGCATTAAGTATTTCATTATTCTTTAAGAAATGATGTAACCTCATAGTGATATTCATGAAACCTGTATATAATGATATTGTGAAATTATAGTTACATCATCCATACATAATAGCTTGGATTAATTTGGTGTAGATGTACCGGAGGGAGCTGTTATCATACGGGAACATACAGCGATAAATAACTTATTCAGCTGCTTGTGGTTCAATGAGGTCAATCTGTTCACTCCAAGAGACCAATTGAGTTTCGGCTACGTTGTGTACAGGTTACAAGGTGCATTCAAGTTCTTTATGTTTCCAAATTGCGAATACAACTCACTGTTTGTGTTACATCCACACACTAGAGAGCATTCTTCGAAGGTCGAGTGGGTAAAAAGTTTAAGCGAGTTTCGGGGAAATGGTAGCAGCATGAAAGAGAGTAGAGGTGGATTAGGACTTTGGACTCCTTATCCTGGAGACCTCAATTCAGTAGCATTGCCACCAGTTGTAAGATCTTCTAAAGCTGGCTGAGAATCAAAGTAATCTACTTTTCCTTTGGAAGAATTACTTGATAATTTATAGTAAGATCATCTAGAACTGTTGACATTTTAAAATTCCCATTCATTTTAAAGTATGCTCTTATTGAGTTTTTGCAATGAAATAGATTTCAACTAATGCCTAAAACTTCTCAGGTTTTTATAAAATATGAATTATTTTGTTTAAATTATTTGTTAAATTATCATTTACTATCTTTGTTTCATAATACTTATCATATTTTAGAAAACAGTTTGTTTAAATACTTGTTACATATGTGGTTTCAAGAAGTAATAAATTCATTTTTTCCATGTTTACCCTTTGTATAGGATTAATAATTATTACTTCAATTTAATGATTTTCATAGAAAATTAGTATTAAATTAAGGGTTATATAGTCAATTTATTCAATAATTTATTGTAATTTAATCTTTTTTCCATGTCTTACCCTGTTGTATCCAGGATATTAATAATTATTACTTCAATTTAATGATTTTCATAGAAAATTAGTTTATTTAAATATAAGGGTTGATATAATACGCTCTCAATATTAATAATTATTACTTCAATTTAATGATTTTCATAGAAAATTAGTATTAAATTAAGGGTTATATAGTCAATTTATTCAATAATTTATTGTAATTTAGACAAATTTAATGGTTTTCTTAAGGAACGTTAAATTTCAAATGTGACAAATATTATGGAACAGAGGTAGTAGTTTTTTGGTAATTAGAAAAATTCTCTAAATCAAATTTTGCCCAATAAACAGAGGATTCAAACGAATTTCAAGAACATATTAGAACAGAGCACTAAATAATTTCTGTAACTAATGGTGTTAAATGCATTTATTATGTGATATTTTAATTCGCAAATTTATGGCAAATGCCAAATAGAATTGCGTATCTTATGATTAAGGTTTAATCAGAAATGGAGGTGTGGGGCAAATATATAAAGCACTTTGCCATTTTCAACATTTCAATGAAAAACAAACTCAAGTTTTGTTTATAAATGTAATGACTGGTGGTGGTAAGAGTTATCCGTTTATATTATTACATACAAAGACCTTAAATTTTTAAATGATCAGAATACCAATAACACAAATTTCATTGATGAAAGTAAATCTATTTGATATTGAAATTAACAATTTGTTACTATAAAGAGACAACATGAGATTTTTCTAAACATTCTAAAAATTATTTAATTATCTTAGACTTTTATATCATAATATATCAAATTCATCTTTAAAAAATTAATAATTTGTGAAAAATATTTATTATTATATTTTTCAATTCGTTGGTACCTCAAGAAAATATATCAAATAAATATTCACAAAAAAAAAAAAAAAAAACAAAAAAAGAAAAGAAAAACAATATGGACATTGATCGCACATGATGTTTTTTTAAAAATTTTAAAATTAAAATATTCTTTCATGTATTTATTATGGTAAAACACTATTGTTAGTATTGGTAATATTCAAATTACATATTTCTTTTTCTCAGCTTAGTATATAATGGAAAATAAAGTCGAGTTCAAGGCTGTCGATATTAAGAACTTTAAATCAAAGGGGTTTTGAATAGGAGATTATTGATTCAGAACTTTTAACGTTGTAAAAAAAAAAAAAAAAAAACAATATGACATTGATCGAATGATGTTTTAAAAATTTAAATTAAATATCTTTCATGTATTTATATGGTAAAACACTATGTTAGTATGTAATATCAAATACTATTTCTTTTTCTCAGCTAGTATATAAATGGAAAATAAGTCGAGTTCAAGCTTCGATATTAAAACTTAAATCAAGTTTGAAATAGAAATTATTGAATCAAACTTTAACTTTTAAAATTCAGCTCATTTCAATTCGTTTACGGTCTAATTATAAATATGCAAAAAAATTAAAATGCTGAGAAAGTAAAGGGAAGATCATGGGACTATCCATCTGATCTGACTTCTTTAAGCGGTGGGAAAAAGAGAAAAAGACCGCTAATATTTTCTTATTCCCCCACAAACTAAGCTTTTCAGAAATTTGAAGAGAGATTTTTTTTTTATATTGGTGAAATTCGTGTACTAATCAAAATTTCTAAGGTTAAAAAATTGCTAAAAATAAAGAAAAAAATAGAAAACTTTGCAGTTAAAAAAAATATAAAGATGGTTAGGAATTGCAGTTGAGGTTGGAGAAGCGAGTGAGAGGCTTTTTAAAAACAACTTTGCGGACGCATTGCACTGATGTGCTGTGCCATTTTCTGTAAGTGCTTTGCTTTTTGATAGACAAATGGGCATAGCAGTCATACTATAAGGACACTTGGTCAGTGACCATTCACCCAAACGTGACCTTATTCGTTTCAAACCCAAAATAATTTACTAATGTTATATTTTACATATTTTTAGTTTCATTCAATTTCAATTTTTACTGATTTTTTTCTATTTAATTTGAATTGATTTTGATGAAAAAATTCACTAAATAATTAATAATATCTGATTCTTCATGGTCAAAAAAATTTTAGAATAAATAATTTTTCTTTTTTATCTCTTATTAACACTTAATATAACATTTTATGTATTTTCTTAAAGTGTGGGGGCAAAAAGTGATATCTCTGTGAGGACTAAAAAGAGTAATATACTCTATGATTATATATTTTTTAAAAATTTCAATTTGTAAAGTTTGGTTTCAACTTTTTACATTTACTTCAATTATATTCCATTTATTTTGATTTTACTTTTATGAAAATTCAATTATTTTAACATTTATGAAAAATTTAAAGTGAATTGATCATATGCTTATTTTTAAGCTCTGAAATTTTATTTATAAAATTATAAATTTTTTACTATATTCTAATGATTGAGATTTTTAATTTATACCCTCTCTGTTCTATTTTGTTTGCTTTTTTTTTTTTATATATCTCAAAATGTTTGCAAGGTTTCTAAATTTGTATATATAAACAATTATTTTTCTCATAATAAATTTTATAATTGTTAATTAAATGAAAAACTTTTATTGATATCTGAATGAGTTATTAAAGGTAAAGAAAAGAAAATAATTTTTATTGACTAAATTTTTAATATGCGTGTTTTGTCAAGCCATACAAATAAAATTGGACGGAGAGAGTATAATTTAAATTCTTAGAATTTTAAAATGAATCTCATTCATAAGTTAATTACCCAAAAAGAAAAAGATGGCCGTCAATTATTTTTCACGTAAAAAACGGCACCAGATAAAGAAGAGAGAGAAGGTTGGGCAAGAAACAACAATATGATAAAGAAAAGAAATAAAGGGAAATGGAAGCATCTGATTCTTGTTGAGTTGAGTTGAGTTGTGTGAAGGAGAATTTGAGTTAGAGAAGGAAGGAAAGTGACTTTCTGTCTCTTCCATGCACAGGAAAAAGAAAGGAAAAGGAAAAGGAAAATTCGAATGGATTTACTCTCTGGAAGCATATGTTCCTTTAGAATCTTATTCTTAATGAAAATAATTGATTCTTCTCTGCAATGGATTTTTCTCTTTATCTTTGTTCTAAGTGCTGGGCCTCTCTGACTTTGTGCCACTGCTGCTTGTGTGTGATTCTCATGCGTTTTTATACAGCGTATTACATTTATTTTTTTAATATAATCAAAAAATAAAAGTACTAATGCTGGTTGGATTGAAGTGGTTGAGACTCTCTTTCTTTTAATCAAAGGTTTCGAATTCGAGTCCTAAGCATGAAAATTTGTGGATCTTGCAATATTTAAACCAGGAGAAACGATTCCTCCGGTCAGCCAAAAGAGATTCCAGAATTGTGTTTATTTTGACATAAAAAGAACTCTTCAAATGCCTTAAGTGATTTGTATTCCTTACTCCAAAATTAGAAAATTTTGCAAGGAAGTATATCATATTCAGTGGGAGATCAAGTTCCAAATTAAACTATGATTACTTAGGAAAATCCTCCATACTAGTAATTTGTAAATTGAATTGAAATTTTTTTTTAAAAAAAAAAGTAGAATATGTCACTTTCCAAACCCTAATATAGCATAAAAAACATATCACTGGCGTTCAATAAATTTGGGGCAGTGGGTATTTTTACCGTTGCTGTGTCTCATTCTCATCGATCTAACCCTAATCTTTTTTGTCTCAGAGCTTGAAAATTGAATTGGTAGACAACTTCCTGAGTAGTAGATATTAATTAAACATTAAAATCTGTAGGCCATGTCCACCAGGCCAACAGCTGGTGCATTAATTTACACTCACTAAGTACTCTCATTTCTTTTAATTATAATAAATTATATGGACAAATTCAATTATGCCTCGTGACCTCCATTTTTATCCAATACCACCTTTTAGTTGGCTCCAAATCCCATGTTGCCAACAAATAATATGTGTACATACTTCTTTAATTAAATTTTCTATTTTAAAAAATTAAATAGAGAGAATATATGATTAATTAAATATTTTGCTAAAAGAAATTTGCAATAAAATTAGGTCTGCCAGAAGTTAAATTACTCAGTTTTTTTTTTTTTTTTTTTTTTTTTTTTTTAATATTTTGCTAAAAGAAAATTTTGCAAATAAAAATTAGGGCCTCTGACCAAGAAGTAAACTTACTCAGTTTTTATTTTTTTTTTATTTTTTTTTTTTTTTTGAGGTTTTTTTTTTTTTTTTTTTTTTTTTTTTTTTGGGAATGGTACTCAGGTTGATATATACATATATAAAAGAAAATAAAAGGAGCTGGTTCATATCATTTCATTCATTAAAATTTAAAACTATTATCAAAAGTTAGTTGCATCTCGTAAAGATCTCCTTTTGGAGTTTTATTCTCAATAAAAGAAATGTACCATCATATCATTAGAGACCAAAAGAATAAAAAATACATGATAAAAAAAATTTATGGATTGAGCATATCGAGACATAATTTAATAGTAAATATATATGTAAGCTAACAATAAATGTAAGTGTGAATTTCTATCCTTTAATAATAAATAAATAAATAAAAATATTACATTTTGAAAAAAAAAAAACATGACCAATAATTATGCCAACATTACATGGAGTATAGACTCACTAAACAAATAACATTTTCTTTTCTTATTCTAAAAGGGCGGAATAGATAATTTCACTAGTGAACTTTCACGAAATAATCTTATAAACTCTTAAATTTCACTTTGACCTTTTTTTTTTTTAATAATCTCAAACGTTACACATTGAAAGGTGAATCAAAATCAATATGTATATATATATAACAGGGATATTTTTCTTGATATTGCCATGTAAAATTCTAAATTCATGACATATGTAATGCCTTAATTGTATATCTTTATATTTATTTAAAATTAAATTAATTTATAATTGTTTATTGATTGAATTAAACTATCATAGATGTAATTGATTAATATAACGTTAGAGAATTAATAGCATATTAAGTAATAATTTATTTATAACGTTAGTAGAAATTAAATGCATATTTAATTAATTAATTTCTATATAAAATTTTAATGATATAACAATTTAAAAAATTATACAATTAATTTATGAATTTCAATAATATAGCGCAAATATTATCTTACTATATAAAAATTCCTAAGAACGTATTTCTCTTTGATTAGAATTAAATGTACTATTAAAGTTATAATTGATTTATAATTATAGATAGTCAGATGAATTTAATAACATGATAAGTTGAATAATTTATATAAACTTTAATATTTAAAATAAATATTTATTCATGAATTATTACTGAGTTATATTATTTTTATATTAATTTTTAAAAAAATCAAATTATATGATTTTTTACTTACCTTTTCATTTTTCTACTTTCTTTTTATTATTTATCTCTATAAATTTATAATTTTTAATCCATCTCTTGAATATATGTCTTATCTTACTAATTTTTACTCTAATTAATTTAAAAATCACCGGCTTATATTTTTTTTCTACTATTAATATATTATTCTTTATTAATATTTATTAATAGCTTAATAAAAAGATAATTTTTATCAAATAATCTCTATAAATTTATTCTATATATTCTTTTTAATCTTACTTTTAACTTCTTTTTTTTTTAACTGGCTGATTATAGTTTACGGGGATATTGCTAGTTTTTAAGAATAAATTGAAATCTCATTATGAATTCTAATAATTAAAAATCACGGCTATATTTTTCTTTACTATTAATATATCTTTATAATATTTTTAATAGCTTAATAAAAGAAATTTTATTCAAAAATCTATAAATTATCTATATATTCTTTTAATCTTACTTTACTTCTTTTTTTTTAACTGTGTATAGTACGGGGATATTGCTAGTTATAAGAATAAATTGAAACTCAATGAATCACAAAATCGTTTTCAAAGTTCGGAAAGTTATAAAATTTTTTTATTTAAATAAAATAAAATTAAAAGGTTAAATTATGTTTTTTTTTTTTTCATTCTAAACATAAATGAGAAACTGATTGTGGAAACTTCAGCCACTTTGCTAGTATTCACTTTTCCCCATAACTTTTATCTATCTTTTAAAGTTTTTTATGGGAATTAAAAAAATAATTAAAATAGCTAAATTATAAATAAAATATTTTTTAATTTCTCATATAAATAAAATATTTTCTAATTTGATCAAATTATTTTTATTCCTTTATTTTTTTCAAAATAATAATTAGTTTAGAGAAATGATTTATCTATACCCTGCACAATATATCCAACTATACATCAAACTAATTAAATTATTTTTTTCTGTTTGAAAACAAATAGAACAATAACAATTTTAAAAGAAATCTTTGTAGGCAAATCAAAATTAGATAAAATAACTTCTTAAATTTTGGAACTTCCGTTCTCTATTCAATTTGCACTTCAAGCATAAAGCCACAACAAACCACCTCTCTCTACAAGATGCAGATTCTCTACCACTAACACACTCTCTCTCTCTTATCACAATCCGAAATGAAAACAATAGACATCTTCTGTGCTTCTCAAGCTTCAACAGCCATAAGCATGAGCATGGACCAACCTTCCTCCTCCACCGCCGCTGCAGTTGGCGGCCGAGCCATCGACCGCCACAATCCAATAATCAGAGACCAAAAAAGAGCGCCTAGAGGTCTCCCTTTAGCTCCTTGTACATCTCAATCACCACCGATCAATCCCCAGCCTTACCATCTCCTTCACAAGAGTACTAAAAAAGACGCTGCAGCCAAAGGCAAAACGACAAATACTGATCTAAGCAAGAAGAGTGTCAGTCACAGAAAAACAAGCCAGAAAAAGGACAAGAACGTTACAAAGCTAGCAGTTGGTGATGATGGTAATAGTAATAGTAACGGCGGTAAAGATAAAGAAGTTGTAGCGGTAACAAAGAGCTGGGTTAATCGCAGTGATTTTATCACTCCTCCTACATCTTCTCGATATCTTTTAAGCGATAAAGAATTGTTTGATGGGTTATCGGATTATGATCCTGTTTTAGCATCATCAGTTCATCAACAAGAATCAAACAGTTCAAAATCAGTTTCAACTTCTAATAATATTAATGACTCCACTGAGAAAGAGAAGCCTTCCTCCAACCAGGTTTATTTTAATTAAGCTTTGGTTTAATAATTTAAATATTGATTAATTAATAAGTAATTAGATGAATTGGGTTATTGTTGTTGTTGAAGGTTGTGGTTTTGAGAGTGTCACTACACTGCAGAGGGTGTGAAGGAAAAGTGAGGAAACATCTGTCTAGAATGGAAGGTATGCCTTGAGTACTTTATCTCTTTTGTTTTTTCACTTTATTTATTTATTTTGAGATTGCATTTATTTTAATTCATATATTTTATGGGAAATTTAACTGAGTAGTTGAGTATTTACTTACAGTATATAAATTAAAAAGTGAATTCTTCGTGTGAGGTATTATGCGTATACAATTTCTTTTTAGATATATTGAAACTAATTAGAGATAATTAACGAACATAGGTATGAATGAATCAATAATTTTTTATTAAGTGAGATTGAAGATTTGATGTCATGGATAAAATAAATACTCATAAAAATGGTATATTTTTAGTATATTGATTCTGCGAGCAGAATTTAATTTTTAAAAGTAAAATTGAAAAATAAATGATAATAATTTGGTGGGAAAATGAAATGAACAGGTGTGAGGTCGTACAGCATTGATTTCGCAGCAAAGAAGGTGACAATTGTTGGAGATGTGACGCCATTGTCTGTCCTGGCCAGTGTTTCGAAGGTGAAAAATGCACAATTTTGGACAGGCGCTGCTCCTCTCAAGTAACTCACAACTCAACAAATAATCATTTATTTTATGTCATCAGAATAGTTAATTAGGTTTCAGTTTAGATGTTTAATTAAAAATTAGTGTAAATGCAGACTTTTCTTTTTTTTTATTTATTAATTTTATTATTATAATTAGCACGAGTAGCTGGAACAGAATCATTGCTTATAATTAGACGCTGGTAAGTAAATAAAAAACAGTAGAGACCTTATTTGGCTGTGTCTGTGCCTATTTATACTGTGGGAACTGGGAATTAAAGAAAAATTATCATTTGACCACCACAACAACAAACCCTTAATCCTAAATTAATCTTTTATTTTCATTATGTTCTATTCATATTAATGCCAAGTAGTATTAAGTCTTCTGGACATAATTTTTTATCTTCCTCTTCTCTTTTTATTATCTTTTACCATAAAAAATATGGTATCTACACATCAAGGCAGATTGAAAATTCACAGGGAATGTGTATAACCTCAGACGTCATTCTTTCATTTCATGTCCGGTATCTGCTATTTATATATTTTATAGAATATGTTTATTGTATGCCCAGTATATGCTACTTGCACCCTTTTTTATATGAAATGTGATCATTTTTAATCTTATCGAATTTTTTTATAACAACACATTCGTTTTATTGTCAGCATTTCAGCGATTAATGTTTAGGCTGAAACTACTATAGAGAATTGAGATTTTTTCTATTTATACAGAAATGTTTATTCACCATTAGATTAAAACAATTAAATATAAGTTGTAGATTTAAAAAAATTAAAATGACCTTTTACGGTTGTATTCATTTTTTTAGAAATAAAAATTAACTTACATTTGTTTTTTATTATTATTATTGAATTCAAAAAGACATTTACTCTGTCAATTATTTTTAATAAGATAAGAAGAATAAAATTATAAAACAAATTAAAAGTTTCAATAACCATATACATTTTTTTTCTACCATGTATTAGATTTAAATTATTTAAATATTAATTTTTACATCTAAAATTTCATTTAAACCTTTTAAACAGTAAAAACAATTCAAACTTCAAAATTTGTATTTTTATTTAATTTAATTTATGTGAATATTCAAAAAGGACATTTACTACTAGTCAATATATAATGTTAATAAGATAAGAAGAATAAAATTATAAAACTCATAAAGATTTCAAATTAACTACAAAAATATTACATTTTTTTAAGTACCATGTATTAGAATTTAATTATTTTTAAATATTAATTTTACATCTAAAATTTAACAGTTTAAACCTTGGTTTTTAACAGTAAAAAGAACAAATTCAAAACTTCAAGATCTTTAATTCATAACTTTGTAAAATAAAAAATTATTAAAATTTAACAACAATAATTTTACTTTGCTTTATATTTTTTAGTATAATTGCCAAATTTTACTAATTGGAGTGTTATGGAAGAGAGTATGGCATAATGTCTAAATATTTCAATATGAAGGGATAATAATAAGTAGGTAAATATTATAAATAATTATTTATAATATCCAATAGATATACTATTGATTTTTTTAAATCTAAATTGTTTTAATTTATACATATCTTTTAAAGTGAAATTGATTTTGCATAATTTCATTGTTGAGATATATATAAATCTTAAGGTATTCATGATTCTTTAATTTTAAAAAAACAATATCGCAACGGTTTTAATTTATATACCATAAGATTCTATGATTTTTAAATCTAATGTTTTAATTATCTATCTTTAAAGTGAAATTGATTTTGCATATTTTCATTGGAGATTATATAATTCTAAGGTATTTCATGATCTAATTTTTAATATTTATACAAATCGCAACGGTGTATATATATGAATGAAGAATAAATATAGATTTATATGTGTGCTTTTAAAGATAAAAAGAAATTATTTAAAAAAATGTAAAAGAAGACCTATTTAATAGGTAACCAATGTTATAGTAAATTGAGATAATGATATGCAACTCAAATGGAGTTCTTTATCAATACAAAATTTGTTAATTCTGTACTGTAGTAAAAGCCTAATGTTTATTTGTGAATATATTGAATCTTAGTAGTCAGACATGCATGTTATTTTGAAATATATTAGTTAATTATCAAATAAATTTTATTCTGATATGTTATTGATCACATTGAAATTAATGTCGGTGAACACTCTTAAAAATTTAAATTTAAGACATCGCACTTCTCGTGTTAGTATAAAAATCAATAAAATCACACCTGGTTCGCGAATTAAAGTAATTTTAACTAGATAACATAAATATATGGCTTTCTAAGGTTTTGAAGAATATGAACAATTTGGTTGTTTATGTAGAAGTATTTTCTGATTTTTCTTTTATAATTAACATTTAAAACTATTTATTAACATAAATAATATATTTTTAAAACTTATAAAAAACTAATATGCATCTAACTAATATATTAGGTGAAACATAGGGGATAAATAATAATTAAAAACCAGAATCATTGACTCTTTTTCGTGTGCTCATTATAAATTATTTAAATACTCTCGTATAGCTAGGGTTCCACAACATCCATTCTAAACCTCAATGATCGAACCTAGTTCAACTCAATCCAATAGACTCGACTCAACATGTAAATAATATAATATATATTTATAAATTAGTTAAGTTGATTTAATTTTATTTACAATTTTGGACATAAATGCTAAATTATTTACATATTTTAGTAGAGTTTGCTTTTTAAATTGTTGCTCTTTTTCTTTAGTAGAATCTTTGTTTGAAATGTTGCTATTGGAATATATTATAGTCTAACACATATTGTATAATTATGCTACTAGATATTTTTAATATGTATAATTATGCTACTAGATATTTTTAATTTTGTGGGTTGTCTTTTTTAATAGAAATTTAATTTTCCATGTTGTTGGATTATACTTATGGTTTATGAAAATTATCGCATAATTATATTAATGAGTATACTTCATTTTTTTGATAATTCCTTCAAATAGTTGTATTTTATTTGAAAAAAACTTTTATTATTTATCATTTATTTGATCTGCGGGTTCATATTAAATCCGTACTCAATCTAATCTGTTCATAACTTGCGGGTTAGGTATTTTAAATTAATAAATTCGATGCAACCTGGTCCACGTACAGCCCTATCTATAGCTATTAATATTTTAGTGAATTTCCAAACCGATTTCCCACCTTATTTTTTTGGATGAAATACATAATTTGCACTCTAAACGTTATTGTTTCAATCCTATGACATTTTCAACTTTGAGGGAGATTTGTTGTGTTCTTAAAATTATGAATTTTATAATGTTTCATATTTTTTCACACTAATAACAATAGCTTCTAGGATTTTCCGTTTTATATGCAAAATATTTTTTTAATCTGTGGTTAATACAACTTTTAAAATAAATTTCAACCATTTAGTAGATATTTAATTTTGCAAGTTAAGTGTATGATAGGTATAATTTTTTAAATTAAAATATTTGATAGGTTAAAATAAAAGTAAAAAATTCCACAAAATTAAAAAAATAAAAGTTTAGATTGAATTTATATATTTATTTATTTATTTATTTATTTATTTGCTTTCTATTTCCAATGCATATAGTTACATAGTCGTATCAAATTTTTTTTAATCCAAATATAATAAATCCACTCTTGTTACTTTTTTAATAGAGCTTGCCAACGTGTTGTGATAATTTAAGGTGCGTCATTCTCATTCAAAGCATTAATCAACCGAGTTGTTGCAATAAGAAGAAAAAACGAATCCAAAATAGCAATTTTTAGATTTCAATTCTATTTGATTATTTACCAAAAATCAAATCTAATTTAATTTTCAAAAACTAATTGATTTGAGTTTTCAATTTTAAGGACACGACTGAAACATTCCTTAAAAAATAAGACCAATGTGTTATAAAATAAATAAAAATAAAAAAGAAAAGCCAAATTGACCCTCAGAAATTATTTTTCATAAACAATATTTATGATGTGCTAAATTTTCAAGTTTAATAATAGATAAATATTATTTAAAATATACTAAATTATATTTGAGTGGAATAAATGTATCTTCAAATTTTTATTATGACTTCCATTTCAAAAAAATATATATATTATTATAACTCATATTTTCAAAAAAACCTGTATGCTGTATGAAATAAAATAGAAATAACTTTTTTTTTGTTTTGGTCATTTTTATTAGGATCAAGAAAATATTGAAAAGTTTTATTGCGACACATCCTCTCCTGACAATGTACATAAAACAAATATTGAAAAATCAAATTCCTTTAGCAGTAAAAAAGATAAATTGCTTGAAAAATACTATATATATATATATATATTTTTTCATATATCTAATAATAATTATATACTCATATCTTCTGAAAAAACAGCTTAACCTGTCTTTCCATAATCATTTGTTTACCTGTAGACATAAAAGGAAGGAAGCCAAACCAACTCTGAAGCATAAACATATCCTTTGTGCTTTGCTATCCAAAGCTGATTCTTCCTTGAAGCAGTAATACTTGCATCATAAAACGAGCATTCTGGATTTTGTTATCAGTTATACAATTCTATCAATTTATTCTTCATCGTTCCCTAAACGAAACGAAACGAAACTTTTCATTTCATTGCTTCATTTCCGTATATTCGATAGCTTCCTAAATGAGCAAAATCTCTAAACTGCTACTATATCTCTTTAACTAACTCCTCTATCAGCAGTTTCTCAATATCCCTACCAACTACATCAATGCCGTCTCTCAGATCAAGCCATTCGGAATCCATTACCAATGCCATCTCGGCCGCATTATTGTTTGCTTGCGTTTCTTGGCTTGCAAGCAATTTGTGGATGCTATCCCTAAGTCCATTTTTACTCCACTTAGGAATGATTGCTGTTGAAAGCCTTACCCATGGATGTGGATCGGCAAATTGTTGGTTAATCACGAGAAGAGCTGAGTTTATACGGTCAAATAGCAACTTTCTTTCAGACCTTGGCCATGAAGAGAGGTTGCAGTTCTTCTTCTCTACTTCTTCAAATACCAGAGGATTCATCGGACACTCTGAAGAATGCCATGATGCCATGAAAGCATCAGGGTCAGCATCATTAATACCAGACTCTTGTAATACATCAACTACATATGAAAACTCCCTGCTCTCTTCAATTTTTGCTTCAGAAAAAGTAAGTGAGTCTTCGTCAACATCTTCGTCACTTGAGATGAGCATTGGTCCCTCTGCATATGCTGACTCCAACTTCAGTAGCTGAAGCTGCATCCGAAGTCCTATGGCATAGGAAAAAATTAAACAAGGAAATATTAATGTGATGAAATGTAAAAATTCATCGTCCAAATCATTTGTTTATAATTTATTTTTTAACACCTTCAAAATTCAAGTACATTTTCACTTCACAATCAGTTGCATTATACACATTTATGAGAAGTGGAGAAGCCACAAGAAAAGGGCAAAACATACATATTCTTCACATCTCAAATAAATGAAGCAACCTAATTACAAAATTATCTTTCATTCTTTGTTAATTTTAACTTCAATATAGGTTTTACTAGTTGAAGTGACTCTAAGGCTCCATTTATTTCTAGAAAATACTTACCTTCGGAAAATATTTTCCAAAGAAAAAGTTCCCCTTGAAAATTTTTTTCCTAACAACTTACTTTGTGTTGTTTGTTTGTAATACAAAAAATTATTTAAAAATACTAAATTTATAACGTTTTGAGACAAAATATTTAGAAATATAAAAATTTCATATTTCAAAAATTTTACTTTCAAATATAAGAAAAAGACACATAAAAATGATAAATTGTGCTAGTTGTTAGTGACTAGTGGTGGTAGTTAACAGTGGCTGGTGACTAGTAATAGTGGCCATTACCGAAGGTGATTAGCGGTTGATAATTGTGACTACCAGCCATCAACGGATTATATAAATGCATTTAAAGACTGATGACATTTCCACTCTAATGATGTAATATTTGTCCTTTACACAACTTCTCTGAAAACAAAAGTCTTCTGATTATAAAACTGGCCCTAAAATGCAATGATTAAAAAATTCAAGAGAAACCCAGTCACAAATTAGAAGTAAAAACAAAATAAGAAAGTTTATCAGATTACCGTGTAGGTCAGCACTTAGACTCTCAAAGCATTCAGAACTAGAGGACAGATCATCAGGGAAAGGAGTTTCAAGAACTGAAACAGGACTTGGCTGTTCGGTCTCCTTAGAGCTTGCTGGAGATTCTAGCTCTGTAACAGAGTGTTGCATGGGGACTGATTCCTTGTCAGGTGGCACATTTGATGATTCCTGAATTGCAAAGAAAGATGTGAGATAAAACAATCATTAATAGAAAACCAAGGAATCTATGCAATCATCTAATTAACTATGAGGGGGTTCATGCCATTGAATGATTAGGACATCTTCACAAATATGCCAGATTTTTTACTCATTTCAAAAAGCAAACCACTTGAAAGAAACATGTCAAATTCCAGATAGTGGTAAATGTTGAATAGAACTTTTCTTAGCTTGCATTGGGGGTTTTTGAAATCCAGAAAAAGTAGAATTCTTTTTTTTATTATTTAAAATAAAAAATTAAAAAGAAAAAAAAAAAAAAAAAATAGTGGTAAATGTTGAATAGAACTTTTCTTTAAGCTGCCAATTGGAGGGGTTTTTTGAAAAAATCCAAAAAAGTAGAATTATTTTTTTTTATTATTTAAAATAAAAGAGATTAAAAAGAAAAAAAAAAAAAAAAAAAAAAGAAAAGCTACAAGAACAATATTATGATTTGTCGATCAACTTGAATGTAAATCATTAACAGGTCAAAATATGATCCGGTAATGCATAAAAGGCAGAAATGCTCCCCAAAAAAAAAAAAAAAAAAAAAAAAAGAAAGCTAACAAGAACAATATATGATTTTGTCATCACTTGAATGTAAATCTTAACAGGTCATATGATCCGGTAATGCAAAAAGCAGAATGCTCCATTGCCCATACACTTCACTTATGTGAACTATAATGCACCAAGAGAATGTATTGTCCATAAAATGGTTCCATATCTCAAAAGGTAAATAAATCAAAGGATGATCTTGAGCATGCAGGCAGCAATTTTAGAATTCATGGTAGAGCAAATGTTAACTACCATTTGTGAAACTAACAACTGGAAAAAAGCATACTAATAAATTTTCTGATGACAAAAGAGCAATTTTGGCTGAACAAGTAAAAGACAAGATCCACAGGGCTATTCATCATTGAAAGAACTTAATTTTAAAACTGTTGGTGAACATTCAAAATCTGTCAAGTAAAATTTTCAGTTAAAGAACCTGGCAAAAGTACTAAGCAAAAGATTGCTGGTTAAAACAGAACATGCATCAGACCAATTTTACAAACTGAAGGTATATCAGAAATTCCATCATAGCGGGACATTGAATTCAGAAACAACTAGGGTTCTGATCATAAAATGTTTGCACTCAAAATTCGCTGAAGAGCACATTGATCATCCAGAAAAGATAAAATCATACCTGTGAAATTAATGCCTCTTGGTCACTTGAAGGAGAATTTCCCTTTACTGTCGTATAAGCAGGTAATTCTGGGACAGTAGGTTTAGATGGCGTGGCCACATTGTCAATTTCCAAATCAACCGCACTTTCAGGAACTAAACTTGTATCTGTCACAAATGCAGCTGATGTCTCAGAAGCCATATAACATTGTTTAAATAGATCATCGTTTGTGATATTGCTCTGCACTTGATTGTGGCTGTAACTAATTTCTGGTGAAGTGTCACTGGGATCAGAATAATTGCACTCAGAGAAGTGAGATCTTTTAATACGAGATCTTGAACTTCTAGAAGAGCCTTCTCTCCAATTAAAATTCCCCTTCATCGTCTTGGTCCTTTCCTGCTGCATCACTTCTTTTGGTAGTAAAAATCTGTCATTGCAAAGAGTTTCATGGCGCATGCCTGTTCTGGGACTGCCTACAGTAGTAAATGAAGCAGGAACAGATCTTGATCTAGAAAGATTTCTAACATATCCTTCCTTCCAGCCATCTCTACTGCTAATTCCCAAAGGTCCAGTGCAGTCTATTTTTCCAGCGTGGCCATCAAATTTGCCACTAAATCCTTTTTCACGGACCATGGCGTCAGCATTAGCTAGCCTTGGTTCCCTATCAGGCAAAGCAAGCATTTCACCTAGTGTGCTGCTCCTATTAACCACTCCCATATCTGCAGACCTATGAGTCATTTTCCACCTTTCTGAGAGTCTCTTCCTGGCCTCCGTACTCACAGATGATTCAGCAAAATGGGATGATGAAGGCCTGTATCGGTTGCTCCAACCACTAGAATTTCTAGAAAAGACAGTTGGTGCATCTGATTCATTTGCTGATTCATTGTCGGACCTATTCGATGAACTCTCATCCCCAGCATATCCTCTAACTCCAGAGTTTGGGAACTTTATTGAACCACTCGCAAGACTATTTCTCATTTGCCTAGTGATCTCCTTTGCAATCTCTCTAGATTCTCTAGACTTGTGTCGTGGGAGTCCTGCATCATCAGAAAACCTTTTCTTTCCACATAACTCCACCTCCCTATTCTTGATGCCAGGAAATTCAGTGTGCTTCTTACTATCTGAAAGAAAATCATGGGAAGAACGAGGTGATGAAATAGCTCTAGAGGCATTTTGCACTTTACCGAAGTTTGGTTTCAGCACAACAATCCTTGTAGGAAGATCAGAAGACCCAACTTTCTCTTCTGATTGAATTTTCGATGACTTGACTGGATCATCAGCAGCATGTTTACTGTAAGAATGGCTAAGTGGATCATTATTGTACTTTCGACGATTCTTCAATGGAGTTTCTCTCTCTATTTTGCAGCCGAGGCCACTGCCTCCACACTCTAGAGCACGTGATGGCTTCATATCTGATATGTGACGACAATGGGACTGGGAAGTAGTCGTTTGCAGATCATGTAGATGCTTTGTGAACAATGAATCTGGTTGCTCAAGAAATTTCAACAGAAGGTCTTTGTTGGATTCTAAATCATCAATGACATCATGAAATTCCTTTAAATCATGAAATTTTTCATCGGCTGACAGACGTCTGGCATCCATAAATTTCTGCTGAATGAATGCCATCTCAGCATCAGTTAGCTTTGAGTTTGCACTCCCCTGCAATGAGTGACTACTATTCTCCATTTTTGATGTGTCTGAAACTTCAAATACATCTTTAAATTCTTGCTCCTCCTTTGAGCTTTTTCTGGATGAGCGCCGACTGCATGATGTGCTACTCCTTTGACCCTTTTCTGTCAATGCTATTCTCTGTACATTCTCCGATGACCTTTTTTGTTGTTTTTGAGAAAGCTGCTGAGTAGGCAGCCCATCAAGGCCCATCAACCTAGCAATAACACTGAGTGACCTTTTCTTGGGTTCAATTTCTCTTGACATCTCTTCAGCTAATAATTTCTTTATTGGTGTTCCAGCTGCTTGATTTGAAGATCTCCACCCCAATTCACTTGTGAACTATAGAAGCCAAATGATTTTTATACAGTTGTGAGTGTCAGTAAACAACAAAATAGATAAACAAAAGGGATAGGAAACATAAGAAAATCAGAATTCATTATGTTAAAAGGATTGCTTTCAACTGATTTCGTGAAAAGAAGTAAATCAAATTATATAAAATCAACAAAAACAAGTAGATCAGCGCACCGAATCTTCTCCTGAAGTGTTCTGAGACCTAGAATCAGAGGTCAATTTTTGGAAGTTTCTCTGTTTTTGAACCTGCCCGTTTCCTGGAAATGAATCCCTAGCACATTATTAGGATGGTTGTTTCTCAAATAAAAGTAAATGTAGAAGGCTATGTTAAAAGCATTTTAGAAAAAGGACCAAAGTTCATTTATCTAGTCCAGGAAACAACAAAGAACTTCCAAAGATCAAAAACACTTTTCTCTGTCTCTCTAGATGATGAAGCTACCTTAAAAACATTTTTAAAAAATGTAGGACTTATCCGAGTTCAGATCAACAGATAACCAGAAACATTTTTTTAGAGAAACAGCATAGAAAAGACGAGAAGAAAATTTCATACACATACAAGTTTCAAAATGGAAATGAAACACACTGCAAATGAAAGAGAACGGTGTCCAAGCTTTGCTATTAAATCACATTATAGCCCTAGAATCTGTAATAATTATTTAAGAAAAGACTAAAACAAAAAAGATAACAAAATTATGGCAATACCACTATAGAAAAGTTACAAAGCAATTTCAAAACCTACTTTAATTAAAGCAGAAGCAAACCTAAAACTTAACCTTGTCGTTGACCTCTACATAGCAAGAACAGTAAGCAAAATTGGAGGAAAAAAGCAATGTATATAAAATAATATAAAAATCTCCTCCGCTCCGTTGCAAAGAAAATAAGGGAAAATGAAAACAAGCAATATATATTAAATTTTTGTTATTTCAGAAAAATCAGAGATAATTTCAGCTATTTAGCTTAGTTTTTTGAAACTACTGATTTCTTCTGCATTAGTCCAGTCATTTAAAGATCGAATAGAGAGAAAAGGCCCTGTTTGGATACTAAGAAAATGCACAAAAAATGAGCAAAAAGCGTTTTTAAACTAGATTTTGTGAAAACTGATTCGAGTTACACTTATCTATCTCGGCCCACAGGGACATTTAGCAAAGTCAATTTAAATTTGAAAGAAAAAAAAATAACAAAACAACCAAAAAACATTAAAGATTTTCTTTCATTTTCCGACGTTTTCTAGGCAACCAAACAAGAAACTTAAAAAAAAATGAAGAGAGAGTATCACCTTCTCTGGGTCTACGACTGGAGCTGCGATCATCAGTTAATGCTTCAATACTGGAATTCCTTTGGCGAAATGTCTCCATTTTTTTCAGTCATTAAAAACGTTTGTCAGATTTATTTAAGAAAAGAGAAAGCTCACTTAATCTGGAAGAAACCTAGATCGGAAATCCCGGAAAGAAGCAGGCGAGAAAGAGAGAGGAAGGATCCAAGAAAATCATAGACCTCAAAACCCCAAAATCTCAGCTTAATCTCAAAGGCCAGAAGGAGAGAAAAAAAAAAAAAAAAACAGAAACACAGACTTTCACACTCACTCACGGATTGTGTCTCCAGATCTTAGCCTGCAGATTGGCAAACTTTCTAGAGAGAGAAAAAAAGAGAAAAAAGAGTAAGAGAGAGATCCGGGCGGAGGAGTGGAGGAGAACGGAGAGAGAAATAAGAGTCCGTTAGAACCGTGAACGGGAGGGAGAGAAGGGAGAGAGAGGAAGAGAGGGTTATATTTTTTGAACATTCAAAATATACAGATAGACTGACGAGAGCTAAGCGACTGCGCGGGCAAGTGGTAACGTGATATGGATGGCTTATGGCTAGGAGACCCATGCGACAGTCACTTTAGTACACCTGTTTAGGTGTGGGATTGCCACGTCGACCTTCAGCATTCGCTTTTTATGGCAGGTCGTAGGCTTGTCTTCATCGTTTGATTTGGTAACTGGCCAGTGGCCACGACGTAATTAAAACATTACTCCTTATTATAATCGTTAAGTTTTATTTTTCCGAATATAAGAGAAGATTCAAATGAGATCTATTGTAAAATTGTAAATTCACTTGCCATTTATTATTAAGTTGTAAATTCACTTGCCATAAATAAATATATAAAATATATATATATAGCTAGAAATTAAAACTAAGAGAAATTAAGAGTTAAAATAAAAAATTTCAATATTTTTATGGATAATTTTTTAAAAATATTTTTGGTAAGGGGCTCCGTCATTATATATATGTATATGTGTTATTTTTACTATCATTTTTCATTAATATATAAGCAGAATTTAAATCCTAAATTTTATTTTTTTTAATTTTATGACCTTTTCAATTTTTATTTTGATGTATAAAACAATTTAATTTGTAAAAATTATATCTATTAACACTTAAATTTATAAATAATTTTATTAAATATTTCAACTTATAAAATAGATCAATTAAGTATCTACAAATAGTTAGAAAAATATAAAAATTATTATTTTAATAATTATACGAACTAAACATCAAATTAATGTTGTACATGTAAAAGCAAAAAAAATCTTTAAACTTATTGGTGTTAGTTTAGAGAGATATATAATATTACTAAAATTTGCAAATTCAACTTCAATTTACAAATTATTTTATTTGGCAATTTAACAAATGTCATATATGAGGTTTCAATTTTAACAATATCAGAAAAGAATATTTATTAAGATAATAACAAATTCAGTTAAAAAATTTCAATACTACCAAAATTGACATTGCAAAAGAAATGGGAAACATTGAAAAAAAAAAAAAAAGAAAATGCTGGAAAAAAAGGGAATTGCTGAAAAAGAGAACACTAAAAAAAGGAAATGCAAAATCTATAAAATCACAAAAAGAAAAAAAAAGGAAACACAGAATCTATAAGAGTAATCTCTATACAGTTTATGTGATTCAACTAGGACAATGATAACCGGTGACGGCAACTGACGACTGGCGATGGTAAATATGATATACACATATATAGGGTGTATATATATACTGTATTAGTAAATACGTTACATATATATACACATTGTATAAGTAAATACTGTAAAATCAATTAAATACAAAATAGATATATATACACCAATTAACACATTGAATCAAACCAAGTAAATATGATATATATATACACACACACTGTATCAGTATCAATCAAAACAAAATCGTAAGTTCTACATTGTCTCTGGAATATTTACTGATTATATAAAAAATTGATAGAGATATTTTCAATAATTAAAAACAGAAATCAACATGCCTTATGTATCAAATCGAAACCATGGAATAACACCAATAATGAGAAGAACGACAGCAAAAAGAGAAAAAGTAATAAGAAAATAATGAACAACAGCAAAGGAGAAATAACGATAAGAAAATAATGAGAGCTGAAAAAAACGACAGCAGAAAGATATTAACATACTAAAAGAAAAGGAAACAACAGTGAAGATAGGAAATTAATACAAAATAAAACACTAACATATTAAAACACTAAAATATTAACAAATGAATACCACCAATAAAAAAGGCACAATAGTAAAAATATATCATAAATGACAATAATTTAAACCTCAAAGTTAAACTGACATTTTTTAAAAATAAGTTTAAAAAACTGATATTTAGTATAATATCCTTTATTTTATTGAGTGCCTTAATTTATAAAATAGATCAATTAATTATCTATCAAATAGTTAAAAAAATATAAACATTATAATTTTAAAAGTTCATGATAAGTTATTCACAAAATTTATTGCTCCTTAAGATTAAAAATTGTAAATTTCAAGAATAAATTTGTGTATTCAACCGTTAATTTATCTACACGAATTAATGAATTTTCAATTTGAGTTAGTAACACAAAATTAATTTTGAACTTAAGTGAATTAATTAGCTTTCAGATATTGAAAGTTGAAGTTTAGTTAGATCGTTTAATTAATTAATTTTATACAAATTTTGAGGATGAGTACAGGCACTTTCTCTACGTCTAAGAGAAGTTGGAGTAATTGTTGCACCAATAGTCTGAAGAATTAAGAGTGATGATATCATATCCAAAGACGAATCCATCTTGAGTTAGGTGTATCAAATAATGGTGATATGAAACACAATTTGCCTAACTAAGAAATTAAGCACCTCAGGCTTGAGTCCAAAAGTTTATATTACAAATGGCGGAATACATAAATAATTTTCCGAACTTTCACAAAAAAAATCTTGTGACCTTCTATATTTTCAAGATGACCTTGTGGCCTCTGAATTTTACATTTTATAATTTATATACGCTTGGATAGAATAAAAAGAATGAAGTGAATCGCACACATGATGATGTGGATTAATGGCAATACATGGCAATTATGTTGTCATGTTGAATACCATCTCACCTTAGTTAGTCAGTTTAGCTTTCCATAAAATTTTCAATTTCTTTTCGTTCTTTTTCCTGAAACTTCCTTCCTAAATACGCAGACAAGTAAATCCCTAATCCTGTTGGTTTGTCGATTTTCATTTTGTTCTTTTTTTCATTATTGTTTGATCGATTGAGAAGAACCGAGAGTCAAAGGAATATCTTGCGGGTTCATGAATCGTTAGGTGTTGATTTATCATTAGTCCAAAGACGGAAAGAAAGGTAATTGAGTTTAATAGGGATTGTTAATGGCAATTTGAACTAAAAAGTGAAAATTTTCAGAAAATATGGGTTTTGGCAGTAAGAGAGGAACTGACTCTATTTTTATCACTCAATTAATTCTTCTTTTTTTGTCTGGTGTTGAAATTGAAGGAAAGGAAAAGAAGAGAAGATATGGAGTGGAGTGGATGTTTGGATGAGTGCTTGTATATAGGATGATGATTCACAGATTAAGTTTTGTGTAGATTCATTTTCTTTAGCCAGATTGTTATCATTCTTAGTTCGAATTCATCTTTTCAACGACAATCAACAATTATTATTATTTTATTTTCGCCATTTTCCTTTAGTAAATTCATGACTTTCAGATTACTTTTTCTTAAACAAATTAAAATTTTTGACACAGAATATCTGGGTTGTTTTCTTAAAAAATTATTTACCTAAACCATATAGATATTGAATAGATCCTTCTATTTTTTTTTTTTTTAATTTTCGTAAAAATTAACTCTATTATGGCATATAAAGTGTCACGTATTATGCTATCAGGTCACCTGACTCGCTTCACCGGACATATTTTTTAGTTTTCATTTTCTGACGTATCGAAGCGTGTATAAATTACAAAATGCAAAATCCAGGGGGCCACAGAGTCATCTTGAAAATAAAAGGGCCATGAGACTTTTTAGTGAAAGTTTGGAAAGTAATTTATTTATTCGGCCTATTACAAATAGATGAATTGTATATTGCACGAGTTTAAACGGATCGAATCACAGGTTGACTGGCGTAACTCCTCTAAACCGTCTACTCATTTAACTGAAGGTAAAAAAGTAATTTCACATATATATATATGCGAGTTATACGTGTCTTGTGTATCAGGTTTTCAAATCTATAAACGGTCCATTTAATTGAATTGATTGAATTTTTTTTACTCATATATGATTCATTTAATTAAACAAATTATAAATATTGTATTTGTATGAGTCATTTAATTTTCATATCGTGTTTATATTAAATATTTGACACGATTATTAAATGAATCGTGTTTATGTCAAGTGTTAGGTAGGTTCGAGTCAAATCCGACATTCAACTCATTTTGACACCCCTACTTTGAGTTGACCCCCTAATTTTTTAAAATTCAATTTTTCATAGAATTTTGCATGTACTTTCAAAATAATTCATATCTGGTGCCTAAAATTTTCCCCATGAATTTTATATATTTTTCAAAAATATCCATATTAGCTTCCAAAAAATTTTGTTTTCCAATTTTTCTACAAGGGTTCATTTTGTTTTTTATTTCTTTGCAAACTACTTATATTCTATTTTTTCAAACAGTTGTGAAGTGTTTATTGTATAATCAAAACTATTTAATCATCTAATTAAATACTTACTTATTATAGTTAGTAAACTTAAATACTTAATATATTTGTATTCAAGCCGTAATTATTTTACTAAACGAACAAATACATTTTTATTTTTTGGAAATTTAATGTACCAATAAAATACATTCAAACTATATTTTTAGGAAAATAATTTTTGAATATTTGTGAGAAAACAAACTCTCCGGAAAGTAAGAGGGAACCTTTCTCTGTTTTATGATTTTGACCTACATGGTAAAGAAAGGATTACTTGTGGAGAAAAAACTTTGTTTACACTACACGCATATGCATTACCTATTTGGCTTCCTTGTCGTAAAAATCTTACCATCTAACTCTAAAGAAAATCAATATTTTATTCGAATCTAATCAAACTATTTTACTGTGTATCTCAATTAGTGGAGGTAATTTTTACCGTGGTAAAATAGTAACAATTCCAATTTTCCAATATTGTGTATCTCAATTATAATTTTTATATAATACAAAAATTTAATAAAGCTATCCACGAGAAAAATAAATCTTATCATATATACTAAATATGATTCATATATTAAAAATACATATTATTTATAAATTATAAATTATAAATCGGTAAAATAACCTGCACAAACACGATAAAAGTAGATATAATGGTCAAACAATACCTAATTTACACTCTTTACCTGTTTCCCTCTTTTAATTAGAAGTATTAATTAGTGTTGATGAAGAGGTTATCTGTCTTATTTGCTGGCATTGTTCTAAATTACTTTACTATTTTTAATTATATCATACTTCTACTTGCACGTAAAAATGGTTTTTAAGTTACGTTTTCAAGTAAGCAACCTTCAC